TTGCCACACCAATTACATTGATGCTTCAAGGAAATCGCAGCATAGTCGTACTTCGCTCGTTTCTTGCTTTTCGCGAAAATAATCGCTGTCAGGCCTGCTTCTTTCAGTTGTAGCCATCTTTGTGCAAAACGTCGACATGTTGCAAGAATTACGTGGATACAATTGAAAAATTGCAGCATCACCGTCATTTGCTCGATCCTTGCTTTTCGCGGAAATAATCGCTGTCAGGTCTGCTTCTTTCAGTTGTTGCGATCTTTTTGCGAAACGTCGATATACTGCACGAATTGCACATTCATTCAGGAAATCGCAGCATAGTCGTACTTCGCTCGATTCAGGTTTTTCGCAGAAGGAATCGCTGTCAGGGATACTTCTTTAATTTTTTGCGATCTTTTTGCGAAACGTCGATTTGCTACACGAATTACGTTGATACTATTAGGAAATTCCAGCATCAACGTCGTTTGCTGGAATCTTGCTTTTCGCGGAAATAATCGCTGTCAGGTCTGCTTCTTTCCGTTGTTGCGATCGTATTGCGAAACGTCGATATACTGCACGAATTGCACATTCATTCAGGAAATCGCAGCATAGGCCTAGTTCCCTCGATTCAGGCTTTTCGCAGAATGAATCGCTGTCAGGTCTACTTCTTTCAGTTGTTGCGATATTTTTGCGAAACGTCGATATAATGCACGAATTACGTTGAAAAGAATAGGAAATTGCAGAATCACCGTCATTTGCTCGATTCTTGCTTTCCGCTGAAATAATCGCTGTCAGGCCTGCTTCTTTCAGTTGTTGCGATATTTTTGCGAAACGTCGATTTGCCACACGAATTACATTGATGCTTCAAGGAAATAGCAGCATAGTCGTACTTCGCTCGATTCTTACTTTTCGCGGAAATAATCGCTGTCAGGTCTGCTTCTTTCAGTTTTTGCGATCTTTTTGCGAAACGTCGATTTGGTACAAGAATTACGTTGATACAATTAGGAAATCGCAGCAGCTTAGTAGTTCGCTCGATTCTTGCTTTTCGCGGAAATAATCGCTGTCAGGCCTGCTTCATTCAGTTGGGATCTTCGTGCGAAACGTCGATATACTGCACGAGTTACACATTCATTCAGGAAATCGCAGCATAGTCGTAGTTCGCTCGATTCAGGTTTTTCGCAGAAGGAATCGCTGTCAGGGATACTTCTTTAATTTTTTGCGATCTTTTTGCGAAACGTCGATATAATGCACGAATTACGTTGATAGCAATAGGAAATTGCAGAATCACCGTCATTTGCTCGATTCTTGCTTTCCGCTGAAATAATCGCTGTCAGGCCTGCTTCTTTCAGTTGTTGCGATCTTTGTGCGAAACGTCGATATACTGCACGAATTGCACATTCATTCAAGAAATTCCAGCATCAACGTCGTTTCCTCGATTCTTGCTTTTCGCGGAAATAATCGCTGTCACACGTGCTTATTTTAGTAGTTCCGATCTTTTTGCGAAACTTCGATATACTGCACGAAATACACATTCATTCAGTAAATCGCAGCATCGTCGTTTTTCGCTCGATTCTTGGTTTTCGCGGAAATAGTCGCTGTCACACATGCTTCTTTCAGTTGTTGCGATATTTTTTCGAAACGTTGATTTGCCACACNGGCCTTTTTTGTGGTGCTTGGCTTTCAAGAACAGACTCGCCTAATAATTTTACTTGGCGTAATGATGGTTCTAAGTTTTTAGGAGTTTATCTTGGTAATAATTCCTTCGAATCTGGAAATTGGCCTGAGGCTGAAAAGAAGATTGACAATTCCATCCGCAAATGGTCTCGTCGTTTTAGTTCCATGTCCTTCCGTGGTAGAATTTTAGTTGTTAACCAGATACTTGCTAGTCGTCTTTTTCATACCTTAGCATGTCTTGACCCACCTCCTGGTTTCATCTCAAACCTCGAGACAAAATTCAGGAATCTTATTTGGCAAAAAAAGCATTGGTTACACCCAGTTTACCTAGAGAGATCCATTTTGAATGGCGGACAAGGCATGTGTTCTCTGGAAGCCAGAAGACTAGCCTTCAGGCTAAGTCACATCAGAAGGTTTTTATCAGATGACACAAGTTCCCCTCCGAATGATTTCTTCTTCTTTTTCTTTTGTCTAACTTGTGATATCTCCCCTCCTCACCTGGGAGCCTTCCTTTTGTCTAAACCCCCCTCTGTACCTCCCAACCCTTCGCCTAATTATTACCAAGGGCTCTCCCAACTCTGGTTTACCTTGAACAGGCATCTTAAGCTTAAAAAGTTCTTCCCCTCTGAATGTTCCTATATTTTCTTACGTGAAACCCTTCCCTTTGATAATATCCAGTTTTCACCATCAAAAGCCTGGTCTAGAGTAGCACAAGCAACCTTGAGTGACCTCATAGAATCCAATGGCTGGAAAGACATAGATTCACTTCAACTTCCTAGTTCCATTTCCCCTCAAACTCACAGGCAATTGTGCATCGACCTGGATAAACTTAAAAATGTATTCCCTCTTGAACTTAAAATAACGTCTCCACCGACAAAAAAACTCTTCCTATCAAATATTGTCTCCCACTTAGAAATCTCTCTCTCGAGTGCGTTGAAACCTCGTTTTCTTTCTTCTTTATCAAGTCAATCCACATATGAACTTGCCCTCTCATGTGTCCATTCAAAATATAAGGTCACTCATCCTGTCCACCAACTAGAAAATATTCTAATGCACTTAAAAGACACACCAATAATATGGAAAGCTCCCTATAGATTTCCATCATTAAAAAAAGATGGTGATATCTCATGGCGCCTAAATCATGGCAGCTTATCAACGCCTGTTCTTTTACATAAGATGAAGCTGACCAATACACCTACATGCCCCTATTGTGGAGAGCTAGGAACGTTGGCTCACATGTTCATTTCATGCAAAAAATTAACATCGTTGAGGAATTTTTTAAATGTCCTGTCACACAAAGTTGATTCATCATTATTTATTGACGACAAATTCTTTTTAACATACATTCATGACACAAGATCCAGTCTTCCACGAGAGTCCAAATGTCTTATTGATTTCTTAATAACATTGGCCAAGAGTGTGATATATAAAACGTATATGGCAAAGATTAACTCAAATGACAACACTAATACCATTTCTCCCTTGAGTTCCTTCCAGTCAAAACTGAAGAATGCCATCAATGGAGGTTTCGCCAAATGGAAACAAAGTGGAGACTTAGAGGGATTCAACACAGTATGGGGACCCATTGGAATTGCTGATGAAGATGGTACACTACACATCCTCGGACTTTAGTCTTGCCTCCTCATCATTGAGAACAACAGTGTGCACATCAAGAAAACTGGAAACAAAATTAACACAAACAAATGTGATCCTCAATCTGTTTCTTACTGAAGCCCTGTTAAGTTAACCCATAAGAATTCTGTTGTGTCAGATGCAAACATTATCGTGTCATTGCTAACATTTTACAAACCATGACTTCCGTTTTGTGACATGAATTATGTTATTAAAGTTCTTATGAAACCTCTATTAGTAGTTTTGATCTTTGTGGAAAACGTTGATATGCATCACGAATTACATATATTCATGCAGGAATGAAGTTTCACCATTGTTCGTTCAATCCTTGTTTTTCGCAGAAATGATTGCTGTCAGGCAAGCTTCTTTTAATAGTTCCGATCTTTGTGTCACTTGGTCTGCCTCTGAAACCACAGCGGTGCACTTGCCGTTGCAAAATTTCATGTATTGCTGCATTTGCACCTCTTCCGCTGCATCGTACGCGTATAGTTAAGAATACGCTGTTTATTGATTTTTTGTGGTTGATAAACATCATGTGATTGTAGGAGGAGGGTTTCGTGAATTGTGTCTGGCCAATTCCTTGATGCCGGTGGGCTTATCGATCTCCCTGGAATGCACCAGGTACATGATATGTATTGTTTATTTATTTGTGTTTTTTTTTTTTACTTTCCACTACCGTAATGCACATATCGACTGCCGTGTCGTGTCAGTAGGTAATACGACGACGTAACTCAATCATGCTCCTGAATTGGCCTGAAAACGAAGAATTCGTTTTGAATCTTCCATATTGCGAAATTCGCCGTCAGATCCCTCATATGTCCCCCTGTACCCCTTTTGAGGTTCATGCTTTTTGTCTAAGGCTGTTCCAATGTCCGATTTGTTCATCAAAATATCATCCGCCGGTGCCAATTGCTGAAGAAATCTCGTATAAATCAAAAAGAAATCTCCTATAATAAAAAAAGTCGAATTTAAAGCCGTGTGTATCCATCAGTATCCTTGAAACGATGGAGATCAATTTTGGTCCTGTCCAACCCCGTCTACCTCTCTATGAGACTGTCAGTTGTTTGTGACTCATTGCTTCTGCTGAGAGCATTTAGTGGCACATCCCTGGCAAAAACATGACGTAAATGTAGATGCAATGAGTTCTAGTTCTTTACCGCTACTTTCCTCTCCTGGTTCCTTTAATACGGCTTGAATATATTCCAATTGATATTTTTGTCTGGGAGAGGCTGGCAGGAGTTGCTTCCTGTGAGACAGGAGGACCGGCTCCTCGCCGCGTTCACACCCTCTCATACTTTTTTTTTTCGCTTTGCCTGTCCTTTGGGCACCAGCACCGTTGCCATAGGCAGATGGGCGATGGTGCAGATAGTGCAACACTGGCAGTCGATACCAGTGGTAGCAGATACATCGGTACAGCCCTACTCGTGACTCGTGACTCACGGCCGTGCCCCACGGTCTTCGAGTTCGTCCGATCTTCGTCAGACCCGATCGACTTCAAAGTCGATACTATCTCAATCTGAGGGCACGCGTCCATCACATCTTTTGATGATGCAATAGACTTCTTACTATCTGTTCGTTCACTCTGGAAACGTCTCTTATCCGCAAAATGATTATTTTTATCCACGTCATGAAACCATGTGCTGCTTCTCACATCCGGGAGGACTCAGGTTACGTAAAGAAGCTATGAAGTCCTAATTCTCGCCCTCCCTTTCCGGCCCAGCCTCTTGACGACTACCTGCTCGACCTGCTTGCCGCCAAAATGCCGAGATGCTTCGCGGTCCTTTCCTTATTCGTCCTTCGCTTTCTCAAGGCGAGAGGGCAGAGCTTGTGTCCCGTTCCGGATGACATCTCCCCATGCTTCTGCTACGAAGACGAAATTTTCGGATTCGTTGTCGTGGACTGTTCACCGGCGGCGTCGGGCGAGGAAATCTTCTCGACCTTCAATGACGCCGTCTGGCCGGTTTTGGAACTGGGGTGAGTGATGTGTGGGAAATGGCGAGGCTTCTTATTTTTGTGTAGTTTTCACTTTCCTAGGAGTCTCTTGGACCACACTATGAAAGGGCAGTCATTCCTAGTTAGAAAATTTTGATCAAATCACAACTGAAAGATTTTTAATTTTAAAGATATGAAGTAGATAAAGTGCGCTACTTGGTCCCCCCCCTCCCCCCATGCAGCGGGCAAAACTTGGAGAGTGCTTAGTCCTCTTTTGGAAGCATTTTTACAGTCTAAAGCATTTGTACTCATGCTGGCCAGCGCTTTCCAATTCCTTTCCATATCAAGAAGTACCTAAAGTGATACTCTATTCAAATATAAGTGATTCAAGAAATAGGAAAGAGTCAGGAAGTTGTCAATGAAATACCAATCTAATATTTTCAGCTCCATCGTTCCTTTTTTTAAATTATCACTTCAACTTTTACATATTTTAAAACTCGCTTTCATATGGAATGCGTTCTTTTTTGGCCTTCTGTCAGCGGAGATTGTTGCGAAAGGAATCTGCGAGAAGCGATAACCGTCTTGGCAAATTAAAATACGTATAGAAAAGGTTTAGAAAAGGTTACGTTCGTAAAACTTGGTCTTGGTTTTCGAAATATTGACTTTCCCGACGATATTCGGCATGAGTTATTTCAAATTTGGGTTCGGACCCTTCAATGTGGGCATCACCGAAAATCTGTTTTTGGTTTCTAAGCCTAAGAGAATGCACGAAAGAAGAGATGTTTCGACGTTACTAGTTGGTTTTCGGGAATAGAAAACATGTATAATATTTATTGGCCTTCATCTACATCACTACGCAGAATTTTCAGCTTTTTTTTTTAAGGGACAAGGAAATTCGGTCTGCCTGAGAAAAATCGCTTTACATTATTCCGAAGGTGGTCTACGTGCGAGGTGCTACCCAAAAGTTCCCGAAATTTATTTATTAAAGAATAGCAACTTACAGAAAAATTAGTGGTCTTCATCACCTTCAAAATTGTCCCCCCCAGCATGAATGCAATGGTCCCAGCGAGATTTTAATGCTCGGAAACACAGCTTAAATTCATCTTCTTTCAATGCCTTCAACACATCCTGCGATGTGGTTTGGATCTGCTCTATCGTGTTGAATCTCTTCCGCTTCAGCTTTAATTTCATTTTCGGGAACAAGAAAAAATCACAGGGGGCGAGGTCGGGTGAGTAGGGAGGGTGGGGAACGACCGTCGTGTTCGTGGAAGCCAAAAATCGCTTCTTATCACTTCAACTTTTATATATTTTAAAACTCGCTTTCATATGGAATGCGTTCCTTTTTTAACATAACAACGAGTGATGTGTGAGCGGGGACATTGTCATGGTGCAAGACCCAGGATTGATGGGCCCACATCTCAGGACGTTTCCGCCGAGCATTTTCTCGTAGCCGCCTCAAAACCCCACAGTAGAATAACCTATTCTGGCCAGGTGGAACAAATTTTTTTGTGGATAATGCCTTTTGATGTCAAAAAAAAAAACAAATCAAACATTGACTTGATGTTGCTTCGAACTTGGTGCGCCTTTTTTGGTCTCGGTGACGATGGGCTCTTCCACTGAGACGATTGTCCTTTTGTTTCGGGGTCATACCCGTAAACCCAGGTTTCATCACCAGTAATGATGCGTGAGATGAAGTTTAGGTCATTTTCAAACTCAGTGCAGACAGAGACGCGATGTTGCTTCTGATCGTTGGATAGGAGCCGAGGGACGAATTTTGCTGCTATTCGACGCGTACCCAGTTCATGGGACAAAATTCGTTGACATGTCCCATATGACATTCCAAGAGCCTCACAAACATCGTGAATGGTCTGTCGTCGGTCTTCATGGATTTTTTCCCGAACCAAGGCAACATTTTTTGAATCAACCGTTTTTGAATCGCTTAAACCATTCGTAGGTTTGCGTTTGACCCATTGCTTCATCACCAAAAGCTTATCTCAACATTTGGTGAGTTTCAGCTGCCGTTTTGCCGAGTTTGAAGCAAAATTTAATGCACACTCTTTGCTCTTTCACTTCACTCATTTCGAAATCGCAAAACACTGCAAACACAGGGTTACAAGCAAGCACTGTGTAAACAAACGCGATAACCAACGACGACGAAAACTCGTAGACTGACTCTCAGGGAGTGTAGCAAGCAGTATCTAGCGGCAGAGCGCTGTACTATAACCGGTTCGCGCGGGACATTCAAATTTCGAGAACTTTTGGGTAGCACCTCGTATATAGGCCAGTTTTCAGCCCTTCGATCTAGTCTATTTCTTCCGGCGAACAATTCGAACCGACACTGAACACTCTCCTCTGACCTCGCGGGCAAGTTTTGACCCCGTGATTTGCGTGACGAATTCCGAGGGGGGACATCGACCGGCTCGCTTCTTCGCCCCGGAGAAAATTGGAAGCACTCTAATGCCGCGCCTTCATTGAATCGCTCTGCCGAAACCGAAATGGCCTCTCTCGTTCTCCATTCCTCTCCTACGCGAAGCAGAAAGTGCGTGCATCTTCGGGTCGTCTCTTGCTCGTCGCAGGGAAATTTTCCCATGAAAGCCTTGCCATGAGACTGCGGGCATGAAATTTTAGCAGGAACCTGCAATTGAAGCATATTCCGCTGGAAATGAAGATATAATTTTCAGAATTGCACGGATTCTGACGATCTAAATATTTCACATATGAAGAAAGTCTCAAGAATAGCGTGCAGAGAACTTGTGCATGCAATTTTCGGTTCGTATGGTCTTAAACATGCCTAGAATTATTGTCAGGCGGTCATTCGGTCATTAATGCTTTTTGATCCGTTTGTGACGCTTTATTCCGCAGACATAGTTTCCATTCCAAAGCAAAAAGGTCGCTAGTTTCGGTTATGGAAACAGGGCCCAAAATTCATTCCAACCCAATATCATGTCCAATGTCCGTGGATTATGGTGATCAAAATGAAGTCCACACTAATAACATTCAGAGTATTTCACTTCTTTTTTCTCTCTTTCTCTTTGTCCGCAGACAATTTCGGCTTACTTACAACGAGGCGGTTCAAGAGTTGCCAGAAGGAGTCTTCGGTGATAAATCATTCTCGCAAGTGATCATTTTGAATTCAGCCATCGGCGTCATACACCCCACTGCCCTATTTCCCTCCCGAAGTCGCCTCAATTTCCTGATGATCGCCGAGACCGCCCTGAGAGACTTTCCCGTCGACGACCTCTCGCAATTCGCCGCTCTCGGCGACCTCTTCCTCAGCGGCAACGCGTTGACCCGCCTGCCGCCGATCGGGAGCGACGCGCTGGGGTCGCTCATCATCGACGAGAATCAGATCACAACGCTCGAAGCCGGGTCGTATCTCCCGAATTTGCAGGTCCTCCATCTGGGTGAGTAGTGCCGGTTGCGATATCTCGAAACTGGACGACAAAGTGCATGATTTCGAATTCCTTTTCCTTTACCTTTGCCCTAATGCACGCGGTAGAATTTTGAAGCGGAAAGAAAAGCTTGTGCCACTAGGGGGCGCGTGATGACGGCCTCATGCATCTCGCCAGACACTACCATTCAAATGTGTTCTGTCATCAATGTGATATTTTGCGTGAAGATTTTTCGCGGGTAATATAGCTCCGGAAATTGATGTGTCCATTTCGGTGCTCACTTCTTCGTAATTTCTTTCCCAGATTGGAAAAAGTACGAAATAAAGTAGATTAGCGGAGGGATACCAAAATAAATGAATTTTTTCGGGGCAACCAATGACAGCAGAACGCCAGAGAAACATTTGATCACGAGTTTTCTGCATTTCCCATGCTTTACATAATATACTTCTTGCTAGGATGACTTAGATGATTCTCAGCTGGTTTTTATTAGGGCTGTACCGATGCATTGACTACCACTGGTACTGGTCGCCGGTGTTGCACTAACGCCCTATAGTGCTGGTGCCGGTGCCCAAAGAACGGGTGAAGCGAAAAAAATTACATGATGGTGTGAACGCGAGGCGTCTGCCATTCTGTCTCACTGAAATCCACTCAAGCCTCTCCCAGACAAAAATATCGATCGGATTATTTTCTTGCCCGGTTATAGGAACTGGCAGAAGTAAGGAGCGGTAATGTAGAAAAGTTATTGCATCTCTCCTTACATTATGGTTTTTCAAGGGATGTATCACCATCTCAGCTCTCAGCAGCAGGAATGGATGACAAGCTAACCACTGAGAGCCTCATTAAGAGACAGACAGGCTGGACAGGACCAAAAGTGGTCTATATCGTTTCAAGGAGGCCTACTGATTAAGACAAGAGAGCCTCTAATTAGGCCTATTTGAATTTATAGGCGATTTCTTCTATAGGCCACAATTGATACCGACACCGGCCGATGGTTATGAGGAAAAAATCGGCCATCGACCCCCCGGCCAAATGTGGCCATCGGTACAGCCCTAGTTTTGATGCGTTTCCCGTAGAGATGAATCCCATCTCGGAGGTCCAGCTTGGATTCTTCACGGACTTGGGCAACTTGAGGGATTTCCGCTGCAATCACTGCGACCTCGGACCGACGCTACCGACGGGTTCCTTCGAGTTTTATAACTCAGGAGTGGGAAGGGTTTTCCTTCAATATTGTGGGATATCAAGCTTGGAACCGGGTGCAATGACTGGTACGATCCGCACTATTAGTTTTTGACCCAGTGGACACGGGAGCATTATTCATCTTCATTTTAGGCTTCGGGATCGACACGGAAATCTATCTTGAAAACAACGACATCAGGGAATTGACGGAAGCTGTATTTCGCCCCATGGTGGAGATCGCCTCGCAGGGAAATGGGCTCATCCATCTACACGGTGAGTTACCTGCTAAAGCCACAGCCTTGCACGTCCCCTACTCTGCGTTCCTCTGACTTCCTCCTACTCTACTTTCCTCTGACTTCCTCGGATGCTTTTTGGATTCTTCCTTCCTCTCGCTTCCAACTCTCTTTCGTCATGCATGCCAGGAAACCTCCTCGAGTGCGATTGTAGTATCGCTTGGTACGTGATCAATCCAGGCTTCAATTCAACTGTGACAGGAAGATGCAACGACGGAACACTTTTAGAGGGACTGGATCCTGAATCGACACGGAAATCTATCTTGAAAACAACGACATCAGGGAATTGACGGAAGCTGTATTTCGCCCCATGGTGGAGATCGCCTCGCAGGGAAATGGGCTCATCCATCTACACGGTGAGTTACCTGCTATAGCCACAGCCTTGCACGTCCCCTACTCTGCGTTCCTCTGACTTCCCCCTACTCTACTTTCCTCTGACTTCCCCCTACTCTCCTTTCCTCTGACTTCCCCCTACTCTCCTTTCCTCTGACTTCCTCGGATGCTTTTTGGATTCTTCCTTCCTCTCGCTTCCAACTCTCTTTCAAGTACGTACGGTCCTTTGGAGGAGCTCACGCTAACATCATAGCGAACCATGCACTAGTTAGGTCCGAAGTTAAGTTGACACTGTCCTTCTACGTTGCTGCCTTGTGAAAATCTCCCTGACCTAGGACCGGACTTTCAGGATTGCTTGAATAATGTTTTTCCAATGTGAGGTGCCACCTCAACTGGGATGACTCCCCATTAGGTTAGTCGTTACGTACGAATTATGAGCCCTGGGTTGTACCGGGGACGTAGACCACTTATTTATGCTAATAAGCTTAACCTAAAAGGTCAGAAATTACTATGTTACTTTTGGCACCCATCGTTACCCGTAATAAATTTTTTACCACTGTCATAAAAGATATATCTCTGGCTCGTAATTTGAGGAATGGAAAATGGTGACCTCATAATTTAGCAAAAACTGCGAATGGAGTCGGCGTGACTGCGCTTTCGTTCCTTTGTTGTGTCCCTTGTGAGTTCACTCGGAAACAATTTCACCTCAGTAAGTTGTTAACGAACCAATTCTATCATGTAAGTGGTACTGGATAAATGAGTAAAGCTCAGTTTGTTCGCAATAATTTAGTAAAATAATAAATAACTCCATAGAGAGGGATGTTGGACTCGAGTGCCAGGTATTTGCCAGTTTTCAGCTCTATGTCGTGAATATTCGTGGAATTACCAATTATTTTCCGAGGTGAGAAAAGGTTTATCGTATCGCGCCACCGGTTTGCCAGGCATTGCAGAGCGATTAATAATTTGCATTGCTCGATGTCGCAATAAATGGTCAAAGTTCAGTGACCGTAGCATCGCTCGTTCTAGGTGTTCCAATTTCTTTGGCGATGGTTATTACAAGCGAGGCTTAAGCAATCTCACTCTCCATCCCATCCTCAATCAATCTGGTTCTTAATAATAAGAAAGACATCTGGAGGAAGAGGGAGTAGAGAAAAAGCCATGAATTGTGCATAGCCTGATGCTCTTCCCTGTTGATGTTTTCCTTTTGACTTTCTCGAATCACCAGTAGCGATGTAATGCTTTGTTAAAATGCTGCCTCAATTAGCAAATGAAATTCATCAACTTTGAAGTAAAAGAACGCGATCGTCCTGGGCTTTTGAAACGAAACGACCCAGGAAGATTATCTGCTGGTCATGATGTGACAGTGGGAAAAGAACAAATTTCAAGCAAGAAAATAAATAATTAAGTATTTATTTATTTAAGAGGATGGGGGCATTTTCTCTCACCTCTCCGACATTAGTGTTACGTGTGAATCTATTTCTCCACTGGTACGTTAAAATGAACGGTCTTTTCCAAACTGGAGTTGGTTCCCCGACCACGTTGCGAAACGAACCTTGGTCTGGGAGCGACGAACCGCGCATCTTTGGAATTGCGAAACATTGTGAACTCCTACAGATGTACTCCGTGATCCATGTTAAGGTTTTCGTGGATACGCAGACTATCTCTGTTGTTATTTACCGCGACCGACCCCGCCATGTGTGACTAGTCACATCCGAGAGGGAAAATTCGATAAAGGCATCCTCGGCGGCTCGAATTGCCGCACTCC